TGGTGGTGGTGGTGGTGGTGCTGGTGTTAGTGGAGGAGGAGGCGAAGAGGAAGGTTGGGTTGTGAGAAAATTTGAGATGTGGAGGAAATTTTGAAATTTTACTAATTTTGGGGAGTGGAGGAGAATAGGGTTTACTATTTTTTTGACAAAAATACATAAATACCCTTTGACCGTTGCATTAACTAATTTTTTTGTTAATGGTGGGAATCTAGAATTTATGAAACTAAGGTTGAGAACTTGTAAATTCGCAAACCCTTGGATGGGAACATGTCATTTACTCTATATAATTTTGGTTTTACCCAGATCTAATCTAATTGTTAGACATCCAATTCCATAAAATTCAATCAACATTTTTATACAACCTCCACTTAATCACAACCACAACCAAGGCAAAAACCCAACAGCAAAACTTAGAACAAGAACACTCATAGAACATAAAGGAACCAAAAAATGTAAATTCTTACACAACACTATTCTTAAGGAAATAATTATTCAATTAAAACAAAAACTGAAAATAAGAACACCATAACACAGAGGAACCAAAATTAATTAGGATCCCATCTCATAGCCTCCTCACATTTCCTTGACAACCTCCCAAACCCACCTCACCAAAACATCCCTTCTTATACAACAAATTCCCCATTCTCTTCCACTCCTTAGTATCTCCACCCCAAGCTCTACCTCTATGAATCTTACCACCAGCCTCATACACCTCCTCCACTTTTACAAAACGAAGTAGTGGAAATGTCAGCCACGTATCATGCTTCTATGCTCTGGTTAGAATTATTGAGTGGTGAGTTAATAGAACTTTGGTTCTGATGCTGATCGAACCAATTGGAGTGATTGAACTTATTTCACAAGAACCAAAGAGCTCATTGTGATCAAGCTGTAGTGTGAAAGCCTCACAGCCAACCAGATCCGACCGGTGTGTGGCTCTTGCAGTGGCCAAAGGCCAAAACCCAAGAGCCTCAAGCGCCGACCAAATATGGCTCGCCACGAGGCCTTACAGACGACGTTTATGGTCAGAGCCTAAGGTTCTTTTGTCAGCTAATGGTGTTAGCAAGGAGAGAGAGAGAGAGACCAAATATAGCTCGCCACGAGGCCTGAGAGATGACATTTATGGTTGGAGCCTACGGTTCTTTTGTCAGCCAGCGGTGTTAGCAAAAGGGTAGAGAGAGAGAGAGAGAGAGAGAGAGAGAGAGAAATGAGAATTTTGTATTAATTAAATGCTTGGTGTAAAGACCGTCCTGCCCATTAATAGTTAAGTTTAACCAAAGTCCTCTCAAAAGTTTATAATAGTTTTGATTAAAACTTATGAAAAATACATAATTAGCGGTAATTAAAATAGCGTAATCAAGAAGGTATGCTCTATTTATTGACTTCTTGGGTCTGAATCACCTTGAGGTCACCTACCATATTTGTGACTCAGCTTGGAATATTGGGCTTGTAGGGTGTTTAATGGACATTAGAGATTAATTGAAATGTGTGTAAACTGGCCTAGACACCCTAGTCATTAAAAAAAAAAATAGTGAATATGAAAAAATGAAATTTGTAATGCACTTATCATATGCAATCACATCATTCTAAATAGTGGGTTATAAAATTTAAAAAAAAAAAATCTATTATTATAAGCATCAAATTTTAACAATAATATGATAACAAAATCCTCATAAATTTTGAGTTTTAGCATTCAAAAAAAGATTGGTTTCTTGTTTCTCTTAATCAAATTCTATATACTGTATTAGGTCTAAATATTCGATATGTTTTTATCTAAAGTTAGTAGTTATTTCATATGGTACTATAAAGTTGAAGGTCACACAATCAATTTCCTTAATAAGAAAATAATAATAATAAGTGAGATAGATACATTTAATTGAATTTAAAAAGAATATAAACATCATATTATGGAGTGAACTTATGAATAATAAGATGGCATGTTGTATCTAGGACAATTTATGTACATAACTTATCATGACATATTATTTATGGAGAAAACTTTATTTTAAATTTAGATTTTTTAAGTTAATATAAAGATGAGTATTAATTAATGTCAAAATTTGAAGTAAATAATGATTACAACTTTTCATCATGAAAGAGCAGCCTGAAATGGAAAACAAATAACATAATCATAATGGTAATGGAAGAGATTTGTCACAAGTCAAATCAGTAGATTTTTGTGACAAAACAGGAACAACCTTCCAAAGGTCTCAATTTTGCGTGAATCCCAGATTACATCCCTCTGTCGTTTCCATCAGCCCATCAACATCACTCAGTATCTCCAATCCCCGATTCATCAATTATTCCAACCCGACCCGTCCAGTTCCTCTTTCAACCTACTCATTATTCCTCCTCAAAGTTACATTAGAAATATCAGACATATTCATTTAATAAAAACATGAAAAAAAATACTGATTTAATTAATCACATCCCTTTATTCCTGCTAATATTATTTACTTACAGTACCAAATATTTTGCGTATATTCCATTCAACTTGCAGTTTGGGACACCTTTTAATATGGTACCCCATCATTCCATCCATGAATAAGATAGATGATTACACAAACTTTTATTTTTGAACTGTTTGAAGCGTCACCATCTGTACATTCGATGAACATTATTTCTCTGTCAAATCTGAAAGCTAATTCTCCAGTTTTTGTCCAACATGCTCGCCTAACATTACTCTCTTAACCTAAATAATTGTAACATTGTGAAAGTGAAAGGATGGGAGTGCTTTTATTTTAATTTTAATAAAAACATAAAATAGTAAAAGTGAGAGAAAGGAAGCGAAATTAACATGGAGAAACCAAAATAATTTTGTAAGAAGTAAACAGAGAAAGGTCGGCAAATCCTAAGTTTGGTGAGGCTGAAAAGAGACATATCCCCTCTCTTGCATCTGCAGGGAATAGAGAGACACGTAGGTGCTATTACACATCATGTAACAGTATGTAATTAGTTGGCTAAAAATAGGCTGCTTAATGATTAATGATGAGATTAGTTATACCTAGAAGATGTGAAACCAGGGCGACATTGAATAATTAATTAAGAGTTTGCACAGACTAGTGAGTTCATATCGAATTAATTTCGTTTCATTTTCATGGATGAATGAGACCAAAACACTTCTACTTCAATAAATTATCATATGATTAAACTAAAACTTTGATGCAACTGTACTTTTGTTTATAAGGAGAGGTGACAACATTAATATACCTAATTAACTGACAACATTTTCAAATGTGTTTAATGTTAATTATTTAATTTGGTTCAATTAATTGTGTTGCCGTATTTTGATCACTCATGTATTACCCATGAAGCATTTACTTGTATGTCGGATGTGTTTAATGTCAAATTGTTAAAATGTGACCCTACTCTTTATAACCTTAAGTGGAATGAAAATTCACAATTGGGTTTCTGTCAATTGGGCAGCATATAATATAATATTTCCAATGAGTAAACAATTTTTTCCCACCCAAATAATGGCTAAATGACACTTTCCCACCATACCACTTTACGACCCAAATTTATATATTGGCGGGGAACATAGAGTAAACTCGGTCTAGATTTTGAGACTTTTGAAAAGGAAAAGCCGGTGAGTCTTTTAGTGGTGGAAGGTTGGGATTGATCAGAATTTGACTTGGGAGGGGCGGTTACACAAACCCTCATCGCTCAATTGCGGGCGATTGACAGGGTTGACGAGAGTAGGGTTTGAGAGGTTTAGTAAGTAATGATCGGGAAAGAGAATAATGGTGGTATGAAGTCGCAACGATGCTAGAATCGGAAACAGAATATAAATTTAGATAGTAAAATAGTATTTTAAAAATCCGTAGATGAGAAAGTGTCATTAAATCATTATTTTTGGGTGGGAAAAAGTCGTTTACTCAATTAACAATACTAACAATACTACATATATGCTGGCTAAAAATTTGGAATTAGTTAAGGTTGCATAAATTGAGTAGTTAAGTTGCATAAATTATAAAAAAAAAAAAAAAAAAAAATACCCATTTTTGTAACTTGCAAGAGAAAAAAGGAAAATAACGATTTACGGTGGCGATAAGCACTCAAAAAATATATATATATGTATTAAAAAGCTGAAAGGCAAATCTGTCTTTACTCTCCAAAGGTCTGTACAATCAGTATATAACGATACATATGATGTAAAAGATATCATCTTTATCTAAAAGCATCTAGTTTTCTCTTCTTGTATCATGATGATCGATCTTACAGTCAAGTTATCAAGCAACATTGAATGCAAATAGCAATAGGCCCTTCATTCTGCACATTGAATTAATTGAATAATTGTAAAACCAATCGTGCCCATAAAGCAAATGTATTATTGATTCTCTCTTCCTGCCACCCTTTTAACCCACCAAGTGGAGACACCTTGTTGATGTAGTCTAGGGTATTCACCTTTTAAATCGAAAGCCCTAAAAAACAAATAACAAAAGTAAAGGTCAACTAAAATTTTACGGTAGAAAAATAAATAAATAATGAATATTCACAATCCTTGAGGATCAGAACTCAGAAGTAGGTAGTTGTGGGTTAGTGTAATTAAAAAGGTAGCACGTGACGTGGGTCAATGTAATTTAACGTGTAATGAACACCGGTCTTCAAAGGAAGCCAAGAGCTAGCTTTTGAACTAACCAACCCCCGATCATTAATAATAAATATCATTATTTTGAGGGAGGTAGCTAAAATTTATCTTCTTAATTAAGTTTTGCCGTGCCGTCACGGCTACTCATGTCTCTTTAGAATGCCGTAAAAATTTATTATAGCGTACAATTGAGGATACATGATTATATTTATTAGTAATTATTAATGCTCTAATTAAAAACCTAACTAAAAACTCAGTAAATGTGCTCTCTTTGATCTTATGATTATAATTAACAACATAATTAATGATCATTATAGTCAATATAGATATTATTATATGTACAGACTAATATTAACTCACTAGATCATACAATCGAAAAAACAAATATTGTATTCTAAATCCTGGAGTAAGGTTTCATGAAAATAGGAAACTGATAGAAAAAGAGAAAGAAAAATGATGATGAAAGTAGTAATTATAGGTTTCACTAACCAGTCCTTTATTTTCTCTTTTTCAATCACCTGAGAAAATAATGATCAATGGTGCAGTGGGTTTGGACCAGTGGGGACAAGACGCTTTTCAACACCATAACGCGGATCAATCTCAGTTTCAGCAGCTGGCTGTTGTGGTTGCACTTTCTTGTCATCCGCCGAAGGTTTAAGCTTTTCATGCTGACGATGTTTCTGAAATGGGGTGAAGTCAAATTTGCTCGCTAGAACTTTTCTATTAATCAAAGGGTAACGAGAGAGTACAAGTGATGAAGAAGATGTAATGGTGATGTTGCTGCTGCTGCTGTGTCTGTGAATATAGATATTCTTGGACTTGAAATTATACAACTCATGAAACATTAAGAACAAGAGAAGAGAGAGCCAAAGAGTGATGAAAACTAAATGGGAAAATTTCAAGGCCATGGACATGGAGGAAAAGTGGGAGAAAAAGGGTCAGAACTTAGAAGAGGAAGCATGGAGCAAGAAAAATGAATTGAGAAATAATATATTATTAATTTACAGAGAGGAAAGAATTAATTGAATAATATGACAGCTTGAATAATCAAAGCTGAGAAGGAAGAGATAAAAAGAAAAGTAGGGATGAGTTGAAATGTGTGTGTTTGTATTTGCGTTTCATGAGAAACTTGAGGATGCTTTAATTGCTAATTTATTGATTGATAGAGGGCGGTAGAGCCTTTCCCAATGAGAGTTCCTTAGAAATCAAGCAACAACAAAAAAAGGGTAATTATAATATTTAGAATTTTTCAAATCTTGAATTATAATATGTTTGATTATGCTAATTATTAATAATAATAGCTTGAATATATTTGGCACGCATAGGTATAAAATAATGTATATTAATAACATATAATGTCAACTCTCTTTTCTCTTTTAGAGGAATCCATACTGGTTTGAGTGTATTGCACCTTAATAAAAGGATGGGGAATATGCAATCTACATTTTCAATGGACAAAGCAATGAACCAACATCTTGGAAAAAGTATAAATCATTCATTATGTGTATATTTATTTGTTTATTTTTATAAAATTGATTAATATTAAAAAGACACAATTTCAAATAAATTTTTATCGTATAAAAAATATAAAATTTTACCTAATCACCGGTAAAGAGGAGTTTGGAATTAAAAAAATAGGAACGTTGACATTTTGAGAATATTTTTATACACCTTAGTTGTTACGGTGTTTAATTAATTCCAATTTAAATACTAATGAAGATAATATTTCTATATATTGGAGTGATTAAAATCCCTTTTTTTTTTTTTTATATCTATGGTTATGAATTGAATGGACAAGTTAACTAATCCATAGTGTTTTATGAGTATTTAAATTTTGATTGATCAAAATTTTCTTGTAGATTGTAATGTGCAAATAGTTTGGTTAAATAATAAAAGGATTTAATTTGTGTTTTAATTAATTAGGTAACACCGTGATGTCAGGAAGATAAAATTTAGATTGCAGGGTTAAAGGTTAAAATATTAGAAAGAAACAAGTCTAAACTAAAATTTAATTAATTAAATGACTTTAATGATGTGTTTTCGGAAAATACCATTTTTAGTAATATTTATACTTTGTTGATTAATCCTAAGGGTTTCTAATAGTTTGATAAATCTAGTAAGTTCTAAATTTTTGAAAATTCTATATAAATTTTGTTTGAAAATCACTTGAAATTAATTAAAGGATGGGATTATATAGAAAAAATTATTGAATATAGAAAAAAAAAAAAAATTAAATCAGTAATGTCTGCGGGTATTTTAATAGAGTATTTAATAATTGTAGTTGATGGGTTGGATTTTACTTGGTCCAATATTGAGTCTCTCGATTGGGCCTCAACTGCCTAAATACGCTTTCCACTTTCTAGAGCACAATGGTTCGTACCATGGAATAGGAAACCAAAACGACAGCGCTTCCCTAATGTGGAATTAAATTACAGAAGATAGAATTGGTGCCAAAGACAACAATTTCCTCTACAACCAAAACGCGAAGGTAATCATCAGAAATCTTTCAACAGAGATCTTTATCTTGAGAATTAGAAGAAAGTATGGTAAGTAGTTTCTCATATTTAGTTGGTTATTCTTAGATTCAATATTTTGTGCTTTTGTTTGATTTCTCGTTTCCTTCGCTACAGTTAGGGTTTATCATTAGTTTTTAGGGTTATCAATTGATTGCAGATCTAATAGGATTAGACGGTGATGAAATTGAAGGCTCTTGATTGAGTAATTTCTAGTTTCATTTTTTTGATAAATTATGAGTATTTGATTTTGGGTATGATCACGAAAAGATCGTACATAGGAAATTTTGATCAATTCATTGTGTGAAAATTTCTTATTAGTACATCAAGGCTCAAGAATATTTATTGGAAATTATGCGTAATGAATGACCAAGTGTAGGATTGGCTAATGTTTTATGACCAGAATTTGGTTCTTGGCAGTTTGGTTTGCAGAATATGACTAATTGTTTGCAGATTTGTAGGCTGACATAGTGAATTAGGGGAGACAGATATGTGCAGTTAAAAAAGATCCTAGTTTATTATAAAATTTCAGTGGAATGAAATTGAGTTAGTTTTTCTTTTTTTTTTTTTGGTTTTTGTATGTCTACTTAGTTATTGTAATTTTTCTGTTACTTTATTGACAAGTAATTCATAGGAGTCAAAATTGTGTCCCGGATTTGGAATTTTGGTTTATCAATCATGTTTGATTGATAATTAAGTTTTTTCCTGGGTTAAAAAATGATGCTATGGTGTTTTGATTGCTGGCTTTCCCCCTGGATTCTCATCAATTTATATTGTTTCTAAACTTTATTTTTTGTGTTTATGTAGTCTTCACTTGCAGCTGCTAGAGCAGACAATTTTTACTATCCTCCAGAATGGACACCAAATCAGGTATGTGCATGCATGGTACCCTTGCACTTTTTTAGTTGTTGGATGAGTTTACGATGAAATCTATATTGTGCATTCTCATATTGCTTTTATTTTTCAGGGTTCTTTGAACAAGTTTCATGGTCAACATGCTTTGAGGGAGAGAGCAAGAAAAATAGATCAGGGCATTTTGGTTATAAGGTAACAAATTTTGTTTTCTTGGGAGTTTTAATGTATGACTCTTTCTCAGAATGCTTGATTTGATATTTGAAAAATACTCGTGCTATATTGGCTTCTATGAACTTATTTGATAGTGGGAAGTGATAAGAGTTCATGACCGTGCTCAAGTGTATTTTATAAGGATAGCCATTTGGTAATAAAAAGTAACAGGGGTTGTTATTTAGAATCTTGTGATCTATGCATGTGAGGTTTGTAAGAATAAACTTTTTAAATAGGAGCTAGTTATCTTATTTACAGATAGTATTGTTGCAATTATGCTGGTTAGCAAGTGATCTTCTAAATGAGAATGAACCTTTGTGATAATGTCTATTCAATAGCTGCTATGTACTTTCTTTTTTGATGTGTCAGAAATTAAATTTGATATAGATAGAGTGGAACAAAAATTCTTCGACAAATATAACAGTTTGGAGAGCACCATTATAGATTAACATATCATTTTTGGAACTATACTCAAGTTTAAAATTGTTTTCACTTAAGAGCTTACCTTTCTCTGAGTATTATAGCTCTGCACTATAAGTGCTAATCTTCAGATTAGTAGTATCACATCCGATCTTTATCATTGGCTTTTTATGATATTATTGTAACTTTTTTTGACTTAAAATATTACCATGCAGAATGTTTTATGCCCAAATGTTAATTTCTGCATCTATTGATATTGTTTTGTTTTCAGGTTCGAAATGCCTTTCAATATATGGTGTGGTGGCTGCAATTCTATGATAGCAAAGGGTGTTCGGTTCAATGCAGAAAAGAAACAAGTGGGAAATTATTATTCTACAAAGGTATGTTTTGCTACTGTTTGCATATTCGTATTAGTGTCAAAGTTAAGAATTGAACATGTTAAGGATTTTTTTTTAAGTGATTCTTTGTGTATTATTTGGATGATAATTTTGCTTGTACCCATGTTTGTGCTGGCACACTGTTTGAAGGAGCTTAACAGTCTCTCTTAACGGATCCTGTCCATATGCATTGACATTGAGATTTTACTTTATGTTATGCAAATTTCATTTGACTCTGTACTGGTACTGTTAATCTGAGTCAATATGAGCAAGTGTGCTAGAGGTTTATCCAATTTGCCCATTTGTGGTTACATTTTCATTATATGCTTACGGTCCGTAGTCATTCATGTATGAATTACTTTTGGTTGATGGGAGAATTACTTCTTAGCGGTAGCTTCTTTTCTTAGAGATTATCTTTCTTCATTCAGATATGGAGCTTTTCCATGAAATCGGCATGCTGCAAACATCAGATTGTTATCCAGACGGATCCAAAGAACTGTGAATATGTTATTATTAGCGGTGCCCAGCGGAAGATTGAGGAGTTTGATGTTGAGGATGCTGAGACTCTTGAACTCCCTGCAGATGAAGGTTAGTAATACGTGTGGTGTAATTAAAGTTTTGTATATCTTATGGAGATAGAAATAGAATTGAGTCCACCCTGTCTCAGAGCTGGCCATCTTGGTTTCTCTTTCTTGGACCATGAGTGTTATTCATGTCAAAGCCAACAAATTAAAGTTTTTTGTAAAACAAAAGCCAGTTATTTTGATAGGGTGCACATCATTGTTTGTCTTATTGTATGGAAGCTAATAACTGAAAATATTTTATTTCGTGCAGAAAAGGGTAAGCTTTCAGATCCTTTTTATCGTCTTGAGCACCAGGAACAGGACATGCAGAAGAAAAAACAAGCGGAGCCAGTACTAGTGAGCCTTCAGAGAGTTTCTGATGCCAGGCATTCAGATGACTATGCTCTGAACAAGGCTCTCAGGGCTAAACTTAGAGTATGTCACTGAGATCAAATTATTCTTTTGTTCTTCATTTTTCCTACATTGTGCTAAATTCACTCTTTATTTTCAGTCTCAAAAGAAGAGAGTTGCTGAAGAAGAGGCTTCTTCAAGGAAACTGGGTCTTGGCTTACGACTGCTACCAAAAAGTGAAGAAGATGCTGCTGTTGCAGCAAATGTGAGGTTTTCTTCCAAGTTTGAAAAGAATAGGAAGGATAAACGAGCATTGATTAAAGCTGCTTCAATATTTCCCGAGCCATCTGGGTCTTCCATGTCAAATAAGAAACGGCTGGAGCTTGAAGCAAAGCGAAGGAAAATTTGTGCAGGTGCAGCATCCAACTTGCTCACAGGAGCATTTAAACCATCATCATGGTCTCAAAGTCCTATGCCGTCAAGCAGACATAGGGGTACTTCAGTTTCAGCAAGACGGTTCTAAGTGACAAATTTCCTAGAATTTAAGGTTCTTGGCAGGGCTACTGATGTGGGTTATGTGCTGTTTGCTTTTGCCTAAAATTGGCATTGAAGGATGTACAGATATAAATCTATCGCTTGTAATCTTTTCTATAGTTACTGGTTCATAGCATTTTGAAAGTAATATTTGCTGGTTTTGTGCTTGATTTTCTTTTTATTAATGGATGTGTAGCCTCTGAGCGTTTGCCTTTCTCTAATAGACCCGTGTGAACATTATTGTAGAAGTTGTTACTGCTGAAGTTCAATTGAGCGGTTGAGTTCGTGATCATTTGTGTACCATCCAATGGGTGGGATGGATGTTTATACCAATGTTTTAATAACCAACCTGGGGTGAAACCTGACAAAGTTGTCGGGTCTCGGATTGACTGGTTTAACCTGTTTGACCGACCGGTCAAATTGGGTGACAAAACTTTTAAAATTTAGCAAACACCCCCTAAAAATTAAGGTTAAGTCTCTACAGGTTTGAAATTTAGCAAACACACCCTAAATACAAATCGGCCGATGACAGGTTGGCGGCGATGGCAACTCAAATGCAATCCTAATCATCTCTTGAGCCATTCCCCAGAAAAATCTACCAAAGATCAACTGATTTCGGCCGAATCTCATCGTTGCCGGTGTTGACATTTCAGGCCAGATCTCATCGACGCCGACATCGACAACCCTCCCCATCACCCCGAAAATACTTCCTTCTTCCTCCCAACCAAAACCCACCTCACCCTACCACTGTTAGCCTTGCCAATCGTCGGCAAAAGTCGATTGTTACCGTCGTCTTTTTTTCAATTTTCGGTTGATTCACTCACTGGAAATCAACTCCGTTGCCACCATTGCACTCACTAGCACTTTCTCTTCAAAAGCCCCAACATCCAAGCCTTCAATTGTTCGCCAATCGTCATCACAAATTCTAGGGTTTTGGGTTAATAGAGAAATTGATAACCCTACCTGGTGAAGCTCTCGGTTAAACCGGCCAGGGCGGGTCAGGTTTTAAAACATTGGTTTATATGACATTCTTTTCTTGTATAATTAATAGTTTCAAATTAAGATAATTCAAATATAAATTGTTAAGTATATATAATTTATTGATAACTGTTAATTGATATTAATTGAAAGTAATTATTCAGTTTTTTATTTACAATAATGTAAATGAATAATTAATTAATAATACAAATTAAAAATAATATAATAAATAATTACTACACATCTTCGCATCAAATCAATTACAGTAGAACCTCTCTATAGTCATAATGTTAGGACCAACTAAATTTATTATTATGAAGAAGTTATAACTTAATAGAGGTGTAGTTACAAGAATTATTATTTTTTAATTAAAAAATTATTGTTTTGATTTCTTATTTTATAATTTATGTTTTAATAGTATTATGATTTCAATTCATTGCCTTAGTAGCATTAGGATAGTACGGAAATAGATATCAAAGAGTCATTGCAGAATTGAGTGATTAGATGCGACAACTTCACTACACTAATCAATTGGATATTAATATCTTCCTCAATCATCCAAATGAGCAACAAGTTGTATATCCTTTAATGAAGAATAAATCATTACTAGAATTAGACAAGAAGAGAAAAAAGATAATCTTGAGGATGATAGTACGAAAATATCAAAAGTTTTCGTGCCAAGAAACTCTGAACATACTTGAGAAACTAGAAATATTTTGACTTCAATAAGAAGGTGTTCATGTTGGCGACTTATTATGTACCCGAAAGATAAAAGATGTAATAACAACTCTAAAGCATAAACTATTGTCCCAAACAACTTTAAATAAATATTTTATTTTATATTAAACCTTTAATATAACAAAGTATATATTTTTTGCAATATACATATAATTATTATTATGTAGAGGCAAGTTTCTTAAGATGGGATCTATAAAAATTATAACTTATTACACTATGAAATTTATTCTTATTTATAAGTGGTCCAAGTTGGGACCATAATTTTTTATGATTATATGGAGGTCTTAAAGTATCACTATATATATGTTTTACTGTATTTACTTTGTTATATTGTTGAATTATCTTAATGTGTCTTGATGGTATATGTTAAAGTTATTAGAAAAATAATTAAAAAAATATTATATTAATGCATTGAAATTTTCTTTTTCAGTACATAAATTTTATCCAATTAAGTTCTGTTTTCTAAAGACACACAACAATCATAAATCCAAAATTTATTTAAATTTACACCTCAAATTTGGAGGCAAAACTTATGGGAACAAGAGCTCATAGCAATTTGCATTTTGCAGAATTTTATTTGTTAAAACATTTATTTAAGTTAGACCTGAGTTAAATAAAAAAAAAAAATGTAAACATCAGCATCTACAACTATTAATTATCTAATATCACCGTTATTACAGCAAATACTAATATCAGGAATTCAATTTAAGAGAAAAGTTTAAACCATAATAAAACAGAAAATAAGAAACATTTTAATTATGGATATTATCCTATTTAATTAAAACAAAACAAACGATGTAGACAATTTGTTCTCAACTGCCTAATCCGTTAAGAGTTCTTACATCTTCCTATTAATCTTAGAGAGCATCATTTAATTTGTGTTTGCGTAGGAAGAAGGGTACGAAATATCAATCAATCAATCAATCATCAATTACTTGATAAAATTTCATCTCAAAATTATGATTTTATAATATTTATCAATTAAAAGTTTGTGATGGATGGTGTATGGGCCAAAATTCGTATGGGGCCTAACGAGGTCCAATCACAACAATGATATGTGACGGCCCAGAGCCTTGGCCCAATCTTGATCGGGCCCATGCTTAGAATACCTTGGGAACTACCTGTTCTATGAGTTGGGTCATCTCTCGAGTTAAGCTAAACTGGGTCTGGCCCATTCGCCCGCAGTAGTCCATGACAAGGATCAGAATCCTACCCAAATTCCTCTTCTGACAAGATCCTGTATCTCATCCAAAGAGAAAAGCTTTGAGAGATAAAGGCAAAAAATTCAATCTCTTCCCGAAAAGAGAGTTCTACTACGAAGTAGAACTCAGAGTCCTTCTAGGATTAGAGTCCCTGAGGTTCACTATATAAACTGAGGCCGGTCCTCTCTTTAAGGGAAAAAATGAAAAAGACCACCCTGAAGCTTTAGTCTACGTACCTTCAAGCCTCCCCTCGCTTCGCTAAAGTTCCAATTGATACGCAAGAAGACGCTCTGCAGGTCCATCAAGGTTGTCAGTGGCCCTTTTCACAAGATTCTACCTTCGGTTGTAAATTTTATTGTTTACAATTTGGTGCCCACCGTGGGGCCCTGCCAACCATACGATCAAGTACGACCTGCTGTTCAACCTTTCCCTCCAGCCAGACTATCATGACCAACCACACCGAAAGTACAGTGCCAAATGTTGCGGCTCAGATCGAAGCACTCACCGCGTTGGTGCAGGAAAGCAACAAGAAGTACCAAGTCTTGGAGACGCAGAATGCCGCCATTCGCGTCGAGAATCAAGCTCTCCAGGATAAGGTAAATCAATTTTACTCTTTAGATTAGTCATTCAACCAGCATCACACATCCACCTCCCGACCCCCCATTCAACCTAGACAACTGTTTCTAAGCCCAGAAGTCGGCACCTTTCCTATGCCTGCACTAACCAAAACCCTAACATCACTATGAATGTGGCTGAGCCGACTTAGGAAAAGTATCCCCACGAACTTGCCCACCTAACTACCATGACACATGCCCAAACCGTGCCTCCCCAACAATTGGACACCCCTCTTGCACACCAACAAATGCACCCCCTACAGTCTCTAACCGAAACGACTCCCCAAGTCTACCGTTCGGCACGACCATTCACATAAAGCCAAGAGTGTTCCCACATTTCCTCCAGAACCTCAGTACCCTTACACCAACCGCCCTTGAGCAAACATTGACCAAACGACTAGCCGAAGTAGAAGCCATGATCCAACGCATCCCGAGGGTGCCAACGTGCCTAAAAAAGAGTCAACCCCAGAGCTACGTCGAGTCGCCGTTTGTGGATACCATAGCTCTCGCAGATATGCCCCACAAATTCACTTTCCCAAACATGAAGTCGTACAACGACACTACTGACCCGGATGACCATATAGCCTCATACAAGCAGAGAATGTTTGCTGTTGCCATACCAAGGGATCTCCGTGAGGCATGCATGTACAAGAGCTTCGGCTTTAGCCTAATAAGGCCCACGCTACAGTGGTACACCAACCTCCCAAACCACTCGATCCCCTAATTTGCCCAACTCACAGATACCTTCGTGGAGGACTTTGCAAGTAGCAAAAAGTTGGAGAAGCTATCCAGTGACCTCTACCGGATCCTGTAGCACCGCAGCAAGCCCTTATGAGACAATGTGAGACGATTCAACTACGAAAAAGTCTCAATCCCGTACTGCAACCAAGAGACCGCAGTCAACACCTTTAGGAAGGACTTGCTCCTAGATGAAGAACTATACAAAGAGCTCACCAAGTTTAACTATAGTACCATGGAAGAAGTGTTGGCTCGTGCTTGGGGTGGGAGGAAGATGAGGCTCATCGAGCCAAACAGAGAGCCCACGAGGATTGCTGCTCTCAGCGCCACGAAAAACGCCAGGACACAAGACCAGTAGAGCCCTACCCGGACAGGAGAGTTTTTGTTTAGGATAATAGGCGCTAGTTCGACCATCCTTCGACTCAGAACAACAAACACCGCACGCCACCCAAGTATAAGCTACCGGACTACAACCTTAATATCGAGCCACTAGAAGTAGTAGTGGTGATGAAGGAGATGGGGAACGTGGTCAGATGGCCAGCCAAGTTGAAATACCTGGGAGCGAAGCAAGACATCACCAAGTGGTGTGAATTTCACGGAGATCACCACCATAACACCATCAATTGCATTGCACTTCACCTCGAAGTCGCCGAGCTGCTGAAGAGAGGACACTTTCACGAGTTCTTAACGGACAAGGGTAAAAGCACATTGACCAACAAAGATCGCCAAGTTACTCTGTCACCAAAAGCCTTCCTGGTAGACGCAATGTGTGGGGTCATCTCGGGCGGATCGGAGGTCAGTGTAGTCAGCTACTCCTCAGCGAACTGCCATGCCCGAGTGGTAGCCAACCCACGATTCCAACACCCAAGACTGACACAACAAAGAGCAACAAACCTGACTATAGAATTCATGGACAATAAGGCGGCAACGCTACTGAATCCCTATCATGATGCGCTTGTAGTCACCCTCTAGATTGCCAGCATCATTGTCAAAAGAATCTTGATAGACCCCGACTCCTCCGCTAATATCATGTTCCTCAAAGCATTCAGGGTGATGGAGTTGGAGGAGTCTAGCATCAACTGTAGTCCAATGCTCCTCGTGGGATTCAGTTCGAAACAAAAATATACCCTGGGAGAAATTGCCCTACCAATCTATGCCAAAGGGATTAACCAGCAAACCACTTTCATGATATTAGACGTATCTTCTCCCTACAACATGATCCTCGGTTGGCCATGGATTCATAGCATGCGAGCCATCTCCTCGACCTTCCACCAGACGATCAAATTCCCCACCAAATAGGACATCAAAGAGATTAAGGAAGACTAGAAAGCTTCTAGAGATTGTTACCAAAACGCATTCAAACTGAACTGTGGCACCTTTTAACAACTACAAACACCTCCAACTGGACAGATATAGTCGAACCAATCAGCAATGGAGGAGTTAGACGAGGTCCAAATACACCTAGAGTTCCCAGACAGAAAGACACAAATAGGGGCTCGGCTCTCACCTGATATCTGTAGAAAGCTGATTGACTTCCTGGAGAAGAACCAAGATTGTTTTGCTTGGTCTCACTCCGATATGACCGAGATCGATCCCGAAGCCATAATGCATCGACTAAATGTTGACCCGGACGTCTCTCCCGTGAGACAAAAAAGAAGAAGATTCACCTCAGAGAGAAACAAGGCGATAAACGAGGAGGTGGAGAAACTATTCTGGAATGGCTCGGTTCGGGAGGTTCAATACCCAGATTGGTTTACGAACGTGGTGGTAGTGAAAAAGAAGAATGAAAAATGGAGAGTTTGCATCGACTTCACCGACCTGAACAAGGCTTGTCCAAAAGACTCCTTACCACTCCTCTACATAGACATGTTAGTGGATGCCACCACCGGACACAAACTGCTCAGCTTTATGGACGTCTTCTCAAAGTACAACCAGATACTAATACACCCAAACAACTAAGAGAAGACCGCCTTTATTACCGAGCGAGACATCTATTACTACAAAGTTATGTCGTTCAGCCTGAAGAATGCCAAGACCACCTACTAGCGACTAGTGAACAAAATGTTCTCCAACTTGTTGGGAGACTCCATGGAGGTCTACATCGACGACATGTTGGTAAAGTCACTGATCACTGAACAACACCTCAACCACCTTCGACAAGCCTTCGAAGTGCTACGAAAATACAACATGAAGCTAAATCCGACCAAATGCTCATTCAACGTATCCTCGGAGAAGTTCCTTGGATATATGGTGACATAGTGTGACATCGAAGCCAATCTAGACCAGATCGAGGCAGTCCTGTGAATCCCCTCTCCAACCAGCATAAAAGACGTACAATGCCTCACAAGAAGGATAGAAACCCTAAGAAGGTTCATCTCCAAGTCTGAGAAAAAATGTCATCTCTTCTTCACGACACTTAGGAAGTCAAAAAAGTTCGAATGGATGGAGGAATGCGAAGAAGCATTAACCCAACTAAAGCGGTACCTAAACATTGCCCCTACTATTCTCCAAGCCAAAGGCAGGTGAACGACTCTTCTCCTACCTAGCAGTATCGGAGTCAGCTACCTCAGAAGTCCTGATCTGAGAGGAAAAAGGGAGGCAACTCCCAATCTACTAAACCAGCAAATCTCTCTTCAACGCCGAGAGTAAGTATAGCAAACTAGAGAAGCTGGCCCTCGCTTTGGTCACAATAGCACGGAAGCTACAACTATATTTTCAGTGCCACCAAATCAAGGTATTAACATCTTACACATTGAAAAAGATATTGAACAAGCCAAATCTTTCGGGTCAGCTCATTCAATGGGCGATAGAACTAAACGAGTTTGACATCTCCTTCCAAGCCCACACCGCTATTAAATCCTAAGCACTAGCTGACTTTATTACCGATTTCGCACCTGACACTTCCCTCTAGGTGGAGAGAGAGAGCTCTTATGCTTGACTAACCACACACCTTTAAAATGGACCTTGGTAGTGGACAACTCAAGTAACGCCAACGATTATGGGTTAGGTCTAGTACTCACCTCCCCAAAGGGAGACATTCTGTACTAAGTCATCCGGTACGGATTAAAAGCAACCAACAACGAGGCCGAGTACAAAGCGCTAATCGTCAGACTCTCGTTGGCCAAATGAATGAGGATTAAAAAGATACAAGTAAAATCATACTCACAACTGGTGGTGAACCAACTCTAGGGCTCCTATTAGGCACGGGATACCAAGATGAACTCGTATCTAACCTTAGCCAAAGGACTCCAGTCATCTTTCGAAGAATGCACGATCAACCAATCCTGAGGATCGAAAACTCCCATGTAGGCACCCTCGCCAACATCGGCTCGACCCTTAAGGTCGAACAACCAATGAAGATCCCACTAATATATCAACAAACATCAGCAATTGCCCCCAGCTCGACCGAAGTTGCCCCAGTTGGCTCGGACAACTCGTAGATGACACCCATCCTACATTACTTAGAGAACGATGAACTCCCTAATGATAAAAATGAAGCAAGGCGGCTTAGAGCCAAAGCGGCATGATTTACCATATATGATGGCTGCCTTTGCAGAAGATCATTCTCGAGACCATACCTCAAGTGCATCACTCTAGAGGAAGCAAAGTACGTACTCTCAGAGCTCTACGAAGGCGAGTGTGGCAAACATGTCGGGGGGCGGAGTCTCGCCAATAGAGCATTGACAGTTGGCTATTACTGGCCCACCATATGCTTCGACGCGGCCAAGTACGTAAAGGAATATGACAACTACCAGTGCTTCTCCAAAGTCTCACACCTTCCACCAAAGCGGCTCATCTCTATACCCACACCATGGCCATTCATGAAGTGAGGAAATGAGGAAGCAAAGTACGTACTCGCAGAGCTCCACGAAGGAGAGTGGGGCAAACACGCCGGAGGGCAGAGTCTCGCCAACAGAGCATTGACAGCTAGCTATTACTGGCCCACCATGTGCGTCGACGCGGCCAAGTACGTGAAGGAGTTGCTAGCACTTCTCCAAAGTCTCACACCTTCCACCAGAGCGGCTCATCTCTATACTCACACTGTGGCCATTTATGAAGTAAGGAATTGATATCGTCAGAAAGCTACCAACCGTGCTAGGCCAACGAGTGTACATGCTAGCGGTCACTGACTAATTTACTAAATGGATAAAAGCGAAAACCTTCGCCCAAATCAGAGATCGCGAAGTTAAAAACTTCATATGGAAGAATGTCATTTGCCAGTTCGGCCTACCCAAAGAGATAATCACAAACAACGGCTCCTAGTTTATCAGTTCGGGCTTCCAAGACTTCTGCAAGACATGGAACATCAAGCTAAGCTTCTCCATGTCCCGATAGCCCAAAGCCAATGAGCAAGCTGAATCCTCGAATAAAACCATTCTCTAGACATTGAAGAAGAGATTACAAAAAGCAAAAGGCGCTTGGGTGGACAAACTTCCTGGGGCACTATGGTCATACCATACCACCGCACGGTCGTCAACAGGAGAAACACCATTTTCGTTGGCCTATGGCTCAAAAGCTGTTATCCCCGCAAAAGTAGGATGTTCGTCGGCACACTTCTAGTGGATAAACGAAGATGACAATAGGCAATAACTTTGCCACAACCTCGACCTCACCGACGAATTACGAGACTAAGCGTCAATTCGCAACACTGCATACCAACAAAAGGTAGCTCAACACTACAACAAGAATGTCTGAGCAAGAATCTTCAAAGTCGGCGATTGGATTTTGCGCTAAGTCTTCCAAAACACAAAGGTGCCAGGAGCCGACACTCGATCCCACTTATAAGGGACCCTATATAATCACAAAAGTTATTAGCAAAAGGGCATACCAATTACAAACACCGGAAGGCAAGAACATCACCAATAGTTGGAATGCCACGCACCTAAAAACTTGTCATTTTTTATAGTCAGTCGGCTCAGCTCCACCTCCTTTTTTTTCTGATTTTTATGGAAGACATAGTGGGTCTGTCCACTCCCCTCGTCTCCGGTAGACCTTTTTTGTTGTCTCCAACTTAGACTTCGTTATCACCCAATTAATAAAAATTTTATTCAAGCTTCATAATTGTTTAGGAGTTCTGGATTTGTTAAGCCAAAGCGATGGACATCCCTATCAACCCCTCATGCTATTCTACCTCAACAAAATTGAAACAACCATCATAAGATAAACAGAAGGAGCTGAACTCCCATACAAACGCCCAACAGACTATAATTAAACATCATTCAATGCACTCGGCACTTACACCCTAAAGGTGCACTCAGCACTTCAAAAAAAAAAAAAAAAAAAAAAGGAGATGTCTAGTTATCTTCAGTGGCTGAGCCGCATCGCTCGGACACATCCCTAGTTAGCTGTTCACTCGATGCCACTTCATTGTCGGTTGTCTCCTGCGATCCTTCAATCGACCTGTCAGCATCAACCTCTGGCGCTTCGATTTCATCCCCAAGGACATCCGGTTTGGGTCTGAGATATCGCTTTGCGAGGAATGCTTTGTACTCCGCTATGTCATCGTCTGGCTCCCATTCGCCCTGTTTCCCTACCTTGTACTCCTTTATGAGCTCCAAGCGAGTTTTCAAAACTGCCTCTACAGAGACGGTCTCCAGCCTGCAGAGAAGCGAGGCCCTTTCAGCCTCCCACTCGGCTCAAACACTCTGTAGCAGTCAAGCGAATTTTGTGCGTTACTTCTCTAGCCACTCTTTTCTTTCCTGCCTCGTATGGAGCCTGTTTTCCAACTCAGAGGCAGCATCAACGAGCTCCTTATTACGCCGTTCCAACTCCTTATTCCTTCAGTCCTACGAGTTGACTAATTTCTGGAGATGAGCACCTCTAAAGAAGGTCTGCAAGCGCGAAATAATAAACGAATTAGGCTAAGTAAAAAGGGGGCAAGCGACACAAGAGAATGGGGTCAATCACTTGAAAAAGCCAAGCCACTGTTTGCTCAACCGCCCAAGTTAGCGCTCATCTTCGGGAAGAGGGAA